TGGCCATGGTTGGCCTCAAAAGAGGTGAGCAAACCCATTGAAGAACACATCGAAACCAATGGACTACCTGCAATTACCATCTCTCTGAAGTCAATGTAGTTAACATATATGACCAGTTGGGTCTCTTTTGGACTTGGAGCCTCTTGCGACAGGCTGATGGCGATCCTGGAATACTGTGTCTATTCAAAATGCATCAGAATTACAATGGTTTACCCTCTGTTATGAACAGTTTGATGGATTCTGCCAGCCGGGTCACATGTGCGAAGGGATATCTGCCATGAGAAAATCTGATGATGATATCAAGTTGGAAACGCGGCACCACCCCCGTTGCATTCATAGCCACCCGAAAACATACCCGGACAGGGCGGTGGAGAAAGGGCAAGTGGCGTGGCTAAGCAGGGGGACAAGGGTTGGACAAGGCGGTTGTAAAAGGGCCGACAACCCTGCAACCAGGACAGGTAGACCCGGACAACACCTGAACTAGGCCTGGACAAGGCGGTGTTGCCGCCTGAACAAGGACAACGCCGGGCCCACAGCAGCAAGCGCAGCCAAGGCGACAAACCCCGGACAAGGCCGAAAAGAAAGCCCACAGCGCGGCCACAGCCATCGCCAGCCATTTCTTTCTTAGTGCCACGCTAGTAGTAACAAGTGCCACGCTACTAGGAACAAGTGCCTTACTAGTAGTAACAAGCAGCTATTAGAATTAAACTAAATCCAAATTAAATTACTCTTAAAATGATTGGGGAACAAGAGGATGACACAGCAGGACGACGCCAGCGTTGCGGCCAGAGGACAGCAGGAGGACAATACCCGGACATAGGATTCAAGGGCGCTGCCAGCGACTGTGGCCAGCATCCTTGTCCCTAAGAGAGAGTCCCAACACTAAACTGTTTGGAGACAAGAATGAAATCAACTGATTGATCAACTGACAGCGATGGCCTCCGCCCTCCAAATGCCTCCAACCTACTATCGATGGCCTCCAACCTGATAGGAAACTCGAGAAAAGAAAACATGCTCCAAGAGCGTAGTAACAGCCTTACTAGTAGTAACAGGTGCCTTACTAGTACTAACAAGTGCCTTACTAGTAGTAACAAGTGCCTTACTAGTAGTAACAAGTGCTCCTTACTAGGAGCAAGTGCTTATCAAAGCTTCTTCGTCTCGCTTCGAGACGGCTGTGGCTGTCGTCTCCTCCTTGGCGGCGTGTCGACAGGTTTCATCTCGTTCAGCCTCCCGGAGCAAAAGAACGCCAGAAACAAACGCTACTAGGGGCTCCTGGCCTTACTACTAGGAGCAAAGGACGCTACTAGGAACAAGTGCATCGCTTCTAGTAACAAGTGCCTTACTAGTAGTAACAAGAAGCTACTAGGAGCTCTTCAGCCTCCCGGAGCAATCCATCCAAATCCAAAGACTCTGCTGACTCTCCTGCGATATGAGAGTCGACCAATGGTGAATAGTACATGATGAAATACATGAGAATACGTTGGAAATAAATTAGATATATGAGAATAGGAGGAATTATTTGGATTGGCCCTTTTCAGTCTTTGCGTTCTCTTTCATTCTTTTTCTTAGAATTCTTTTCTCCTTCCTTTCTTCACATTTACTTTTTGAATCTGTTTGTGGCATAACAAACAAACATATTACCTCGGCATCAATTTTTGAGACACTTGGTAACTTTGTACACAAAGCTGGCAGGAGAAAACTAACAGCTTAGAGTGTGCTTAATAATAGGTATTGTTGCTGTTGATCATGGACCTGTGGGACCTGTGGTGTTCCTTTTTATTCTTTCCTTTGTTGTACGGGGTGGCAGTGAGGGCGCATCTGGGCAAGGAATGCAAGAATTTTCCTAAGACTTGGGAGAGGGCTGCGACGATTTCATGCATGCAAAGCCAACGGAAGTTCCGGAGAGGGGTCCGTGTGGCTTAGCGCTGTTCCCAAAACGAAATTGCAAGAACTAGCTGCCCTTAACACTTTTCTGGGCCACAAGCTGCACTCACATGCACAACGGGCGGAAGCAAAAAAACAAAACATGCACGCAAAGCAATTCATCGAAGCAAGCAAGAAAGGTCAATAAATACAAGAAAGATTAAAGAGTTGACAAAGTGCTTCCGACCAACATGTAAAAAACCACCGCCGCCTTGTGCGTCGCAAGCGCCAGGATCTGCCAGCGCCTCTAGCTAGTAGGTTGGAGGCCATCGCTCTTAGGAGCAAGGACGCTACCAGGGGCTCCTGGCCTTAATACTAGGAGCAAGAAACTACTGGGAGTCCTGGCCTCGCTACTAGGGGCAAGGACGCTACTAGGTTGGAGGCTTTTGATCCAAACCCCTTTTGGCCCGGCATCCTTTGCCCTTTTGGCACAACTCACCTCCACCAAACGCATGGCCACGCACCCACGGCACAGGCGCCTCAAGTAAACAGGCCGAATTCGTCCGCTTGAGAATCTGAATTGCTGAAAGTGTGTGGAAAGTAGGCCCGTCTGACTTTCTACCATGTTCCAGCCATGCACAGAATGTCAAAAGAGAAGCGGTTGGTTGATGAATTGACTTGAATTTGGCGATTTGGATCTGTCTGTGCTGTATGTTTTGTCTTGTTTGCCGGACTTAGCAGTCGCACGTTGCCAAAAGCAAGGGGGACTCGCCCGCAGAGTTGCGAGTTTCCAGCACCGGCCTGAGTCCAAGCCGACTCGTGACATAACTGACATAACTCGAATAGAAAGAAGCTGACAGTCATCCATTGGTACGTCAGTTGACTCATTTTCCGAGATTAGGCATGAACTCAGCTTGAGGTTGACTCAGCAGCCAAGCCTGAAGTCCGTATGTGGATGTGTTAGCTTCTTGCTACAACTAGTAGTGATGGCCTCCAACCTGGTTCTCCTCTCTCATTCTCTCTTTTCCGAGCTTTCGGCCATAAGACCCGGCTGATTCGAACCTGATCCAGTGAGAGAAAAGACCCCGGCGACATGCAGGATTTGCACAGAAGCGTACTCAGAAGCGTCCGATCGCTCCGTTCGTAGCGATGCCAGGAGCCCCGAACGTAGCGTCCTCTTGTTACTAGAAGCGATGCACTTGTTCCTAGTAGCGTCCTTGCTCCTAGTAGCTTCTTTGCCTTCAGGGTTACAAATGCTACCGTGCACTGGAAAGTGAGGTATTTGGCCTTCACTACATAAATTCACATGCCAAACGCCCGTTTGTTTCTGCCGTGGTCCGCACGAGCTGCAAGGTGTAAAGCTCCCTCTCCGCGGGCGTTGGCCCATGAAAAACCATAACGCCTGGAACACGGGTGGCAAAACAATTCATTTTTCACCAAATAGCGTGAGCTAACTTGTAAGATCTTGTAAGCCATTGGGGTTCTTCCTTTAAGTATGGGAATGGGTGGGTGCTGGAGCCACTGCGAAGATATCGATGCGTGTTCGAAGCGTGCTTCTAATTAGGTATTCTGGGGGCACTCTTTGGGGTTCTTTGCACACGCACGACGCTAAGGATGTCGTGGTACTAGGGGCTCCTGGCCGTACTACTAGGAACAAGGACGCTACTTTGGCCGTGGGCGCTTTGGAGACCGTGGTCGGCGCTGGTGCCGGTTTGGCTACTGGTGCTGGTGGTTGTTTTTTCAAATATCACATGCCTTATTCTTGATGTGTTCAATTGCTTCTTGCCCGTGATACTTGGGAAGCCTAGGAGCTTTACTTTTGGGGCACATTGATATATACCACACTGCACCTTACCTTCCATTACATAGCTGTGTTTGAAGGCTTGCACGTGATGCTTGTGAAGGCTGGAAACTGTGCTGTTTGCGTGATCATTTTTGCATCTTTTTGCACATATATAGTTTTTCCTCACACGGAAGATCCTGCGGTGTCCGCCGGCTGATTTAGTACAGCAGGCCCCTAAGAATCTAACCAAGATTATTCCTGCTTGATGAAATGAACCTAGGGACGAAATGAATAGTGCCCTCAGGCGGGGGAGCTTCCTTGAGAAGGGTGCCCGCGTCCAACCTAGCGGCCAGTAGTAGTAATACCATGATACCGAGTTGCTTGTTTAGCCCTTACTCAATCAAGTAGGGGGGAGTAGTATATATTTGTGATTCGTGTGGGGCCACAAGCGTTTCTGCATCTGACCGAAGAAGTCCGAAGCCTGACCAAATACTGCGCCATCATCATGCTGCCAGCCTGTCATTGCCAAGTGTGACTAGCGGACTACAGCCTTACATGGGAGTTGATCTAAATTCCTTTATCCGGGATCCGTCATTTTCGCCAAAAAAAATTTACTTTCGCCAAACTTTCGCCTTCCTGCGTTTTATCTTTCGCCGAAGTACGTTGTGTTTGTGTGCCATGTATGTTGTGTTTTGTTCACGTCAATGGCTTCTTCTTTACTGGCAAACACAAAATAGAAACTTCACTGTTTGTCAGCATGTGTCTTCTACTTAACTGTTGACACCCAGTACGTCTCTTTTGTTTCTCCTGGGTGTCAGCAAGAATCAAAATTGCAAGAATCACTGTAGTAGCCGGTCACTCAAACTTACTCATAATGGGCTGGGGGTCAGATGTGGCAGGGTGAACTTTCGCCAATCTTGAGCTGAACTTTCGCCAAACTTTCGCCTTTTGCGGGGTAGAGTTTTGTGGCAAAGCCACCCCCCAAAGCAGGAGCAGGAATAGTAGTAGTAGTAGTAGTAGTAGTCGTAGTCGTAGTGGTAGTGGTAGTGGTCGTGGTCGTGGTCGTGGTCGTGGTCGTGGTGGTGGTAGTGGTAGTGGTAGTCGTAGTCGTAGTAGTAGTAGTAGCAGCCGCAGCAGCAGCAGGTTATCTAACTTCCACAGCTTATCTAGCTTCTGAGTCACTGCCACCAGCTGTTCAGAAAGCAAATGAATATTCATACAAAAGTACATATTTAATCTTTCGCCAGATCTTTCGCCAAAAAATAATTTACTTTCGCCAACTCGAGAAAAAACTTTCGCCAAATGAGATTTTGATATGTTCCGGGTCATCGTCATACACACTGCTGACTAGGACCTTTAGATCGACAACCACATGTTCGTGGGCTTGCGCATGCACATGCATGTGCGACTGGATCGGCCATCTCAAAACAAAACACTATGAGAACATCATGTTTGTCTTCATGAACCCACAGAAACTCTCTCTTTTCACAGGTGGCACAGCACATCGGGTCTTAGGCTAATGCCGCAGTCCAGAAGCAATCGCACCGAGCACCAAGGATGAGAAATCGGTGAAGAATCGGTGCTGAGAAATGTCGGATGACATCACCCTCATCACCTGAGGCGACACAGATATGCGACACAAACAAATCAACATCTCCATCTCCATTTCTTTACTTCCCATGGTGAAGGAGCCAAAGAAAAATGAAGATTAGATTTCATTAGATTTACTTTATGCTCTTTTTCAAAGCGCACTGTGGATCGTCGACCGTTGAGAAAAACCCTGGCCCCGTCTAAGTGCAAAACTGTATAAAAGCAACGCCCTTGTTACTAATAGCTTCTTGTTACTAGTAACTAGTAGTAAGGCCAGGAGCTCCTAGTAGCGTCCTAGTATGTCCTAGTAGCGTCCTTGTTCAACGCCAAGTTACAGGAGAAGCTCACTGGTCCACTCCATGTGTCCAGCTGGATGTCGACGCCACTTCGAGGCCAATCGGACCAGCTTTCCTTCAGCTGTGGCACAGGCACAGCTCCAGGCACGTCGTGGCCCGGCCGTGGGCACCTCACGTCTTGGCATCGTTTCATGTGGTCCACCAAGCATCCAATGGAAGACAGAGCCGTCATCCATACCCATGACGATGCGTGCATGGTCGCCAGACAAAGAGACGGCTTTCGCTGAAGTTGCTGGGATCACTAGCTCCACCTTTGGTTTCCAATGATGTGAAAGTCCTGAAGTGTGAAGCTCATGTAGCAAAACCTTGCCATGACCAAGCACTGCAGCACGGAAAGGATGATGTTTCACAGCATCTGTCACCACAGCAATCTTGGTGCCAGCTCCAAGATCAGGGACTGGTGGAAGATCTGTTGCAGAACACTTCACTGGGCCACCTGCAGCCGTCACGGGGCAGGTAGCGATGTGTCCCGAACTGGTGTGAACAAGCAAGCGTCCAGCACCCCAACTCAAGCCATGAGCACGACCCATCTCCAAGAAGTTTTCCAAGTTGAACGGTGTGGCATGTCCAAAGCCGTGCGATGTAGCTTCATGGGGCAAAAATGCACCGGTGCCTCCAGATGCCAATGCAATGCAGCCAGTGGATCCACATGTCAACAGCTCAGGCTCAAGTGACTTGGGCCACTGCACTGCAGCAGGCACCACTGGGCGGACGACCACAGAGTCCATGCTCTGCAAACGTCGATGTCCTCCACTGTCGAGCCAGTCATGGTCACCTCCTTCATAGACTCGAGCATATTTGATCACACCGGTGAACCATGTGTTCTTCCCCACGCCAGCAGCTCCCACCAATGGCTCAGGTCCTTCAGACTCTGACCAATGCATGTCAGCCTCTGGGTGGAATCCAAACATATCGCTGGCCCAAATCTCTTGTTGTCCTTGCGGTCCCCATCCTTTTTGCCAGGCAAAGTGTCCTCTCATGGGTGTGACATGGGCATAGTGCTTCGAAGTGATAGGTCCACTCTCCCACCCGTGCCATCGACCGATTCGGGACCAAGGTGGAGCTCCAGGATTCGTGACCAACATTCGCTCACTCATGATGCACTCTACGATGCGACCGGTCAATAGCAAACTCCAACTCACCATGGTCACAACCAACAAGGTGCGGACATAGTACCATGGAGTCATGTCCACATTCACCATGGGGTCCTCGCGAATCACACTGTGATCGCGATCAACCTGTTCTTGCTCAAGCTGTGCCTTGGTCTTTGGAGGAGCCACCAAGTAGGAGACATGCTGGAAAGCAGCTGGCAGCCATGCCGGGCTCTCGCAAGATGCGCTCTGGTTGAACATGCGTTCTCCCACCTCTCGAGCTTGATGTGAAGCTCCTGCCGCACTGTTGGCCGGTTGTGCGACCACATAGAGTCGGATGGTCAAACCCAACTGCATCAAAAGCACCAGGATGGCCACGGCACGAGAGATGTCGATGGTGCCCTGGGTGGGGTGATGAGTGTAGGCCAGGGCCAAGGAGATGGCTTCGATGATAGGGCCACCAATTTCAATGGGGAAGCAGCCTCCATGAGAAGGCAAACAAAGTCGTGAGAATCGTGAGAAACTTAAGAAGGAAATCATGGAAAAAACAACAACAAGGAACACAGCAAGGAAGAGGAGAGAGAAAGCAAAAAACACCCAGATATAGTTTCAACTCATTACAGTGTCTGTTCTTCGCTTTGTTTTTGTGTCTTTTGTTCGTTGTCTTGATTGTTATTCTTTTTGCGTGTGATTCTGAAGCAGCCTCCATGAGAAGGCAGGACATCCATTCGGAACATGATCCAAATCCCGGCGGACAAAGCGGAAGCGCAAACAACGGCACCCCACACCATGCCCAACTCTGCCACATTGTGAATGGGAAGCCAATAGGCGAAGGATTGGATCAAGTGCATCTTTCCAATCAGAAAGGTCACCCGAGCATAGGCTTCAGCACACCAATAGTCTTTTTGTGCCTGTCGGATCAGCTCGAAATGCTCATAGGGTTCAGGTGGCGCTTCATTTCCGAAAGCACTTGGGGATGCTTTTGGGAGATCATCACGTGCTTCCACTTCCTTTTGGACCCACGAAGGCACACCAGAGGTGAGACCAGGCATACGAGCTGCATGGGCGACCTCCTTGGTTGATCCGCCCGTCTCTTCAGCCAATTCTTTCACTTTCTCCTTCATCTTGGCACCAATTCCTGGCAAACCCGCTTTTGCATAGCCACTCTTCGAATCCTTCTTCTTCTCATCATCAGATGCAGGTGGAGTGTTGCCGGTGTTTGGCATGAGGAAAGGCAGGCGAAACATATCGTAAACACCTTGCTCCTCGTAGGTGGACAAGATCTTACGGGCACTGTCCAACTGCCTTTGGGAGGGCACTGGCAAACGCACCTTTCGTGTGCGAAGTTGGACCATGGCAATCTGGGCCCGCATGGCCGCATGCCAGCACAACCAAATGGAGAGCGTCATGAAGGCAAATGCCACTCCCAAACAGTTCAAGTAGAGGCCAGACGCAAAGGTAGGTGGCCCCGGGAATTTCAGCCCGCTTCGAGCTTCCACCAGGACGGTCAAGACGTATCCCAAGCTCATGGTGAGCACGGGAACGTAGACGCGGAGCTTACTCACTGACCTTAGGAACACTTAAAACATCTAGAAACACGCAAAGACTCCAATAAATTAGGTTGGAGGCCACCGCTAGTAGGTCATGAACCGTGATCCGCAGCACTTTTACAGATCTCGCAAATCTAAGGAGTGCAACTGGTCCCTCTAATCATCCCCAGTCTCCTACTGCGAACAAACTGGAGTAGACCACTGGAAAACAAGCGCGTTGCGTCTTGATCACAGTCTCCAAGGCACACAGCTGCGAGATCAGAAACATCTTCTCGGAACATGGCAGACCTCTTGAGCTCGTTGGCCCGTCCTGCCATTTCAACGAGAGTGGTTCACCTTCTTTGCCTTCCGAAAGTTCACCCGGTTGGACAAGTTTTGTGTGTGTCTGGGAGGCCGGTTTCAGGCTTGACAAAAGGAAGGAGTAGAAAGCGAGGACGTGTTGACGTGGTGTGATAGCGCGAGAGGAAAATGAACTGAACTTGCTCCTAGTAGCATCCTTGTTCCTAGTAGCGATGCCAGGAGCCCCTAGTAGCGTCTTTGCTCCTAGTAGTAAGGCCAGGAGCCTTCTTGTTCCGAGTGGCTTTTGTTGGTTGCGAGTTTGTACACGGTCCACATCCACAAGTCCATCCAACCTGTCCTGCTGTGAAACGAGCCCATCGTTGGCCTTGGTCAAACTTGTAGTTCACACGGTTGTAGCCGAAGCCGAAGAGCCCGGCCTCACTAGACCGAGGAACTCGATTTGGCCACCGCAGTGTGTCGAGAGGACCGAATCGGACACAACTAGGAGCAAAGGACGCTACTAGTAACAAGTGCATCGCTTGTAGTAACAAGTGCCTTACTAGTAGTAACAAGGACTCTACTAGGAGCAAAGGGCATCGCTACTAGGAGCAAGGACGCTACTAGGGGCTCTTGGCCTTACTACTAGGAGCAAGGACGCTCTGCAACTCTGAACGACTCTGCCCCCGGTGCCTGTTTGATGAGCGTTCCTCCTCCAAGCATCTCCCGCACTGTAGACCACAGCAAACGTGTTTGCGTCTCAACTCCCAGAGCCAAGACTTTTGAGCCGAGTATGCGGCCGCAGGCCCGCAGGGCGAGACTTTTGCGCAAGGCATGTCACTGTGGTAAGCATGTCGCTGGCTCAAGCCCATGCTGAACACATGTGGTTGCCGGCTGAACACATCTTACGCCACATCAAACAGGCCGCGTCGGCTTCGGCAGCCCGAGCGAAGCGTTGGGCCACAGAATTGAATGACACTGACCTCAAAGGTTCGCCCGAAATGGTCTGATTCTCTGGCTTCTCTTCACAAAATCCCAACGAATATAAAAGAAGGTGTGGCCCAGCCCCTTTCATAAGGGGGCCAACTAAAGGAGCAGTTACCTTCCTTTTCTTCTCCGTGTTTCAATTGTCTAGCGTTGGCTTCGGGCGAGCTGGTCGAGGACCTCATGAAAAACAATTTGCTGAGTAGGTCGCTACAAAGGTGTCTAACTTGCTTAGGTCTGGGCGATGACGAAGTTGGCAACCGAGGACCTGCACAGAACAAGTACCTAATGATCATGCGACTTGTGAAATGCGGAAATGTTTAAAGCAACTCCTTCAGAACCCCCAAATGAATATCACTACTGCAGAAAATGAGTGCTTTAGATTGCACTCATCCCCCAACATTCCTTCCACATCTCTTGCAATAAACCGCTTCTGATTCTAATGCCTTGAACTTTCTCTCGCTTCCGCTTCGCCTAACGAGTGGTAACCCGTTTATAACCCGTGGAGTCAACAAATACAAAACACACACATGAATATAAACTCTAGCCATACTCTAGCCGCTCCTACTAGCGATGGCCTCCAACCTACTAGCGATGGCCTCCCCGTAAACTCTAGCCGCTCCTGACCTTCTTGTTTTCCTTCTTGTCTTTCTTGACCTTCTTCTTGTTCTTTTTCTTCTCTTTCCTCTTCTTCTTGAGACGCTTCTCCTGGGTGGCTTCAAACAGCATGCCACAGTTGTGACTCTACCACGCCACTTCCGCCTTCTTCTTTCCTTTGCTTCTCAACGCCTCCATTGCGGTGTTCCACTGTTCCCCAGAACCCCTACATTGGTCTACACATGCTCTCACAAGAAAGGAATCAATTGAGCGAGTCAAGCAAAGCCTCCACTGCCGGATTCTCATCACCTTCATGTCGTGCATTTTTCCCTCTCAAGATCCTACCAGTAAAGCCCAAAGCTCATCCCACGATTGTCTGGGGGCCCTGGCTGCTATCGATCTGGCACACCTCTGAGCCTCAATAAAGCACTTGTATTGGAAACTAGCTCCTCCCGGCACTGCCAGCCTCTGGCAGCCTCACTGGCAGCCTCGCGCGGCTCCTGGCGCAGCCAAATCTCCCTTATTGAAACAATCGAAGGCGTCGAACTCAGTGCGCCACCATAGAGTCCCACGGAGAAGCATCGCTGGCTTTTCGTGGGTCAAGACGAACAGCGCTAGGGAGGGCAGGAAATTTGTCCAAGTTCTCGCATCATCGATGTCACTTGCACCAGGTGTAGGAGAATGTCGAATATGCGGGAACATTTGGAAGCTATTCTGTTGCCTGAAAAACGACCTTGATGTGTTGTTCTGTTGGATTGTAGCTACTTGATGAATATTGCTGGATCGGATGCTGCTTGCGGTCAGCTGGACACTTGCTTCGATCGCTTGACAAATGCAAGCTATGGTTGCAAAAACAAAGCGCATTCAGTAGCTGAATCACAAGTGCACTCCCACCGTACAGCAAATCAGAATGTACATCATAAAGCATCATGGCAACTTTTTTGGAGCGCGTAAATCTTGAAATTGAAACCTGTGGTCATGCTCTCTTTGAGCAGACTTGCATTATTGAACATCTGTGTTTGTCAATAATTTGGCATTTCCTCTCAAATCATCTCAGAAGCTAAAGTCTTCTGCTCGCAATGAAATCAATGACTGTGACATCTTCAACCAATCGAATTGAAAATCGCTGACTAGTCGCCTGGGAATTTCAGGAACCTTCCCATCAATTTGACCACCAGCCTTGCTTTCCCTTGGATTTGCCCTTCCCCTTCCCCTCTTTCCCCCACCCACCATATCCTGCATTCTCATCAGTCCGTCCATCCGCTTTGCTCCACCAGCCCTTGCCCTTGCTCTTGCCGGATTTGCCCTTGCCCTTCGCACCTTTCCCCCATCCGGCGTCAACGCCTTTCCCCCAACCATCAGCCTCAACGCTCCCGTAATTGGGCGGCGCTTCTCCGGACTGCTTGTTCTGCCACCAGCCCTTTGAGCCCTTCGAGCCCTTCTTGCCCTTGGACTTGCCCTTGCCCTTTGCAAATCCATCCCCATTCGGACTCCCGTAATTCTGAGGTGCTTCAGTGGGTTTGCTCTGCCACTTGTTGTTTTTGTTCTTCTTCTTGCCTTTGCCTGGCTGCCCACTTTGCTCTTCTGTGTGGTTCGTGTTCCCACCATCGCCACCCTTGCCACCCTTGCCTGGCCATGTATGCTCGAGATCATGTCCCTTGTTCTTCTTGTTCCTTTTGCCCTTTCCTTTCCCTTTCCCCTTCCGGGCCCCTTTCTCTTCAAGTTGAAGCACCTTCTTTCCATCCTCCTCCCCAATCCCGAAGGTGTCTTCCATTCGAACGAAATCATCATTCACATCATGCCCATCAGCTCTATTCAAATTCACCACATAGAAACCATCAAAGGCGGCCATGTACGTGTGCTCTTCAATGGCTACCACATCTCCCACGGTCATTGATGCATGTGTGGCCTTCCGGTGGAATCGAGGACCCTGCTTGCCTGTTGCTTGCATCTCACCGTAGATCTTTTGAAGCCACTTCAGCCGTTCTAAGCCGTGTGGCACTGGACACTTCAAGTGACGCACCGGACAATGTGTGGCTCCTAAACCCTTCTCTTGGCTCTTGACAAAGTTGATCCAGGAGTGGATGGCGGATGGGTTCTTCACCCACAAAGGAAGAAACCGCTCTTGGAACCTGACCACTTGGGCACTATGTGCACAATGCAAGACATGAAGCAGAACTAGTAGCGATGGCCTCCAACCTAGAAGCAATGGCCTCCAACAGAATAGAATTTACATAGGTCTCACTTCTTGAAAAGACTTGGTAAGGGCGTCTCTAGCCGTCTGCAGGTCCAAGAAGCAAAGGTACCGAATAAAGTACCACTCCGGATCCGGTAGAACTCGATTCTGGCATTGCACCTGCGTTGGGGATCTCTTCGAAGGCCTCACGTAGCCCTCTAAGCTGCATGTAAGCTTGGCCTATCCATCCCGCTTGCTTCAAGCGCGCTACTTGGTGAGATGGTAAGCGGCATTCCCACGGTCGGTCCCCACGAGTAGCAGCCATGGACAGTTGAATGTGCCATGAGCTCATGATGACCCGTGGATGCGGCTCCCTCCCACGTTCGGCCGCTTCCTCAATGACCTGCGGCTTGGGCATAGCCAAGAAACATCCAAAACATGCAGAATCCGTCCACGTTCTCATGCCAAACATCTCAACCGAATCTCTTGTTTTCCAACTCTTCCCTCGCATCTCTCTCTCTCTCTCAGGTTGGCATTGCTTTTAGGTTGGAGGCCATTGCTAGTAGGTTGGAAGCCATTGCTAGTAGGTTGGACTCTCTCTTGGCCAAGGGGCATCCATATCAGACCCCTCGGAGGATTCAGTCTCCTCGGAGGACTCATCATCAAGGTCCGCCATTGGAAAAGGCGCTCCAGTTGCCCAGCCCGGTGCCGAGCCAGGTCGACTGGAAGCAACGTTCTGCCCGGTGATGCCCTAGCTGGCCCCCCCGGATCTTGATCCAAATCAGGCATCGTGCTACTAGTGGTAAGAATGCTCCCAGTAGTAAGGCCAGGAGCCCCTAGTAGCGTCCTTGCTCCCAGTAGTAAGGCCAGGAGCCCCTAGTAGCGTCCTTGCTCCCAGTAGTAAGGCCAGGAGCCCCTAGTAGCGTCCTTGCTCCTAGTAGCGATGCCAGGAGCCCCTAGTAGCGTCCTTGCTCCTAGTAGCGATGCCAGGAGCTCCTAGTAGCGTCCTTGCTCCCAGTGGTAAGGCCAGGAGCCCCTAGTAGCTTCTTGTTACCATGTTTGAAAAACAATACCACGATAGAACTTCTAGAGCTGCACATGATTGTTTACAAGTTTCGCCATGCGCGCTCTTGTTAGGACTTCTGCGGCCAGTCATCCCTGAAAACACGCATTTGCGCTCGGATGATGGCAGGAGTGGCCAGCACAGCCACTTCTTCATCCTAAACAATTTCATCAACCAAATGCACCGCGTTCAGCACATCTGAAGGCCCAAGGGTGTTGAAGCATAGCTCCTGCATGTCTCGCCAGGTCGTGGTTTCGCTTGTGTGAATGTAGAATGGACATGAATGGCATCGCTACTAGGGGCTCCTGGCCTTACTACTAGGAACAAGAAGCTACAACTAATGGATATGAATCATGAATGGATTCTGGACACGCCACCTGACTGGCAATTGTGACGTTTTGCCCTGCAAACCGCAGTTTTGGCCGCAAAACCACCCTCGACACCCACAGATTGCCCCGCTCCTTCTTTGCACCCCGTGGGCACTTTGACTCGACCCAGGTGTAGAATGGCATGTCCCTGACAGGCTCAGTTGACAAGCGACTAAGCGAAGACAACTCCCCAAATCCACCAAGCTTGGAGTGCGAAGAACGTTACTAGGAGCAAAGGGCATGCTACCAGGAACAAGAATGAACAAAATGGTGGAAAGAAACCGGTCGAACTTCTCCTTGAGCCCCCCACTTCTTCTTCACGGATTCCTGTCGGAGTGAGGCTTGGCCAAGGCTTAAAAGTTAGTCCCCAAGCAAAAGACCTTAAAGTAGAGCCAAACATACCATTTATCATGGCAAACCTCCAACACCTACAGGTACCAGATGGTACCAGGGTCAAGCCACACCAAGACATGTCGATTTGTCACGTGTCATCATCCCATGTCATCGCATGGCACAAGGGGCCTGCGGAGATGCCAACTTGGAAAGCACCACATGACCTCCGGCAAATATAACAAGACTAGGGCCATCGCCATTGGTAACT